CTCTCCCCTTCCTCCTCTAGGATTAAAATTGTTTTCGACAAAGCTGAATACTGCTCTTGCTCTATTTGGCTTTTTTTTACTCATCTTTTCTCTTGTGTCCCTTCTTTTGACTGATGGAATTTTTTCAGGCCACACCCACACCATGAAGATGGATTCACCAACAACAATTTCCACCTTCTCAAGGAAGCTATCTGCACATCTCACTTTCATTCATACCCACTCACAAGTCGCTAGTTCCTGAGGAGAATCATTAGTTTCGATGAACCCCCCACACACATCTCCGATCACCTTCATTACACTTGGACACCAGAGCACTAGCGGAAGCCCGAAGATACGAATCCAAGACATTTCACCAGGTTCCTGATCACCTTCCGCTTCAGATAAAAGCACCCCAAACTCGCACCCCACCAGTCCAGTAGCACACTAGACCTCCCAAATGTCCGCGGACCATTTCTGAGGACCCACGCCACTTCAGCTCTAGAGGGAAAGATGAAGAGAAAGAATTCATCCACCAACTTTTTCACCCTTACCCCTCCCACTTCTCTCCAAATCTTATTAACCCACAGATCTACTTGCAGTAAATCCATCCCCTCTGAACCTTCTAACCAAACAGTTTTGCAGGAAGCGTCTACTTGCCTCTACTCCCGCCACCTCAATATTAGCAACCCATTTACCTTCGACTTTCATCAGATCTGAATACCCAAACTCTGGCCACGCTTCCACTGCTGCTTCTTTGCTGTAGGGAACTCCTTTCTTACTCGTGCATCAACCCCTCCCCTCTTATACCAATTTTCAGTTTCCCACCTTTTCGAGGATTTCTGGAAAAATCTCCTCTATGCATCACAATAAACTTCGAAGGAAAAACTACCTAGCTCGTCATCGCAAGAGCCTTCTAAGGGTGAACAGAATAAGTCAAGCTACTATAAAGAAGAGAAACTAACCTGTCCACGTGTGTAGATAATCGTGCCACTAACAAGATTACTGTTAAGTATCAATACCTGATAACACAGTTAGATGACATGCTTGACGTGGTGGCTGGCTTACAATCATTTCCAAGATCGATTTAAGGAATGAATATCATCAAATTTGAATCAGATCAAGCGACAAGGGGAAAACTGCCTTCAAAACAAAGGATGGAATTTATGAGTGGTTAGTTATGCCCTTTCAAGACAAAGGACAGACTAATGCACCAGTACCTTTATGTGCGCCATTAAGCAAGCTTCACATCCTTTCATTTGTCATTCTGTAGTGGTCTACTTTGATGATATTTTTGTGTATAGACAAGATGCAGCTGAACATATGAATCACTTTAGACAAGTGATGAGAGTTTTATGCCAAGAGAAGCTCTACATCAACCAGAAGAAGGGCACTTTTATGAGTTCCAACGTAATCTTCTTTGGGCTTTCTAATTTCCTCAAGAGAAGTGGAGGCTGATCCAAACAAAGCCAAAGCTATTCTTGATTGGCCTATCCCTTCGAATTTACATGAAGTGCATAGCTTCCTGCTTCCATAACTAGGAATGGCAATGGGGTGGTTTCAGGAGGGGCACCCCCTCCCCATTCCACCCTGTAGCCAAATTCCCCTACCTCGTCCCCAATGGCGGGACAGGTTCTGTGTAGGGCTGTAGAGGGAAGGGATAATTTTGTCATTATACTTTTCTTTTGTACCATATTATTAGTATAGTGTGTATACTAGACAATAGGCATCTCTATACCTTATTGTACTTTATTCTCTTATGTAAGGGCAGTATTGTACTTCTGCCCCTTTTAAATATAAAGTGATGTTTCCTGGTTGGGTTGAGCCATCAGAACCAACCAAACAGACTTGGTGTTCTCTGCTCTTTCTCCCTTCTCTCTCTCAGTTTCTAGATTAACATTGTACCAGAGTAGGTTGCGCTCTGATTCTCAATGGGTATTTTAGAATCTTCTTGCTTCCCTTGGCTTTTGAGACAGACTAATGCACCAGTACCTTTATGTGTGTCATTATGCAAGCTTCACATCCTTTCATTTGTCATTTTGTAGTGGTCTACTTTGATGATAATTTTGTGTATAGCCAAGATGCAGCTGAACATATGAATCACTTTAGACAAGTGATGAGAGTCTTATGCCAAGAGAAGCTCTACATCAACCAGAAGAAGGGCACTTTTATGAGTTCCAATGTAATCTTCTTGGGCTTTCTAGTTTCCTCAAGAGAAGTGGAGGCTGATCCAAACAAAGCCAAAGCTATTCTTGATTGGCCTATCCCTTCTAATTTACATGAAGTGCATAGCTTCCTGCTTTCATGGCTAGGAATGGCAACGGGGTGGGCTCAGGAGGGGCACCCCCTCCCCATTCCACCCTGTAGCCAAAATCCCCTACCTCATCCCCAATGGCGGGACAGGTTCAGGGTAGGGCTGTAGAGGGAAGGGGTAATTTTGTCATTATACTTTTCTTTTGTACCATATTATTAGTATAGTGTGTATACTAGACAATAGGCATCTCTGTACCTTATTGTACTTTATTCTCTTATGTAAGGGCAGTATTGTACTTCTGCCCCTTATAAATATAAAGTGATGTTTCCTGGTTGGGTTGAGACATCAGAACCAACCAAACAGACTTGGTGTTCTCTGCTCTTTCTCCATTCTCACTCTCAGTTTCTAGATTAACATGGTGCCAGAGTAAGTTGCGCTCTGATTCTCAATGGGTATTAGAATCCTCTTGCTTCCCTTGGCTTTTGAGATTGGTTTAGGGTTGCTTTGATCAACCCTAGAACCAGTATACTCTATGCAAGCAGCAAGCTCTTGGGAGATATCAGTTCATGACAAAACTTCAAGGGGTGTGTCGCCTGACCATTTACATCATATTCTGAAAGTTTCATTGGATTTGAAGTGTAGAAGGGGTTCTATTCAATTCATCTGGGCGGCAGCAGGTTTTCTTTCCATTTTTGGATTGTGTCTGCGATTTCTGGATTGTTTTCAGTGGTTTGGACACTTTTCTTTGACTGTAAGGGACTCTATTTCTTCCCTCTTAATATTTCAGCCTGCTCAAAGTGACTATATTACATTGTACTCATGTTTTTTATTTTTTCTCTCTATTCCTAGCTCAATATGGGACTCGAGAATGGTGAGATAATTTCAGTAAAATTCGATGGCAGCAACTATGCACTTTGGAAGTTTCACTTCCAATATTTTGTTGAAGGGAAGTGGGGGCTATATTGATGGCTCTACAGCTATGCCCAATGCTAGTGATGCCAAGGGACTGAAACAATGGAAAATAGAAAATGCACAAGTACTATCCTGGATTCTTGGATCTGTTATTGTGGATGTTGCTATTTCGATGAGAGGATTCAAGACTGCCCATGACATGTTTTTTTTTTTTTGATAAATGAGAGTAGTTTTATTAATTCAAATAACTGAAATACAATCAGCCTAGGAGGAGGCACGAGACGTTACCTCCCCCGAGGACTGAACCATATACACTAAACATGCCCAAGCCTGAAACACAATTACAAAGTAGCCCAAAACAGATCTCCCCTTAACACCCCTTGCTTGGCCAGAGAATCAGCCATTGCATTTGTTGATCTGCTGACCCACTGAAACCTGACAGTCATATGTCCTGTCATCCAATTAACTTTCTTTAACAGATCCCTGTAGCCCCAACAAGCTGTTTCTAGGCTCATCATCCAGCCCACTACTACCTTGGAATCCCCTTCTACTAACAAATTGTTCACTCCAATTTGACTTGCCATCTGTATACCTTGTACCGCTGTAGCCCCATTGCATTTGTTGATCTGCTGACCCACTGAAACCTGACAGTCATATGTCCTGTCATCCAATTAACTTTCTTTAACAGATCCCTGTAGCCCCAACAAGCTGTTTCTAGGCTCATCATCCAGCCCACTACTATGGAATCCCCTTCTACTAACAAATTGTTCACTCCAATTTGACTTGCCATCTGTATACCTTGTACCGCTGCTGGTAACTCTGCCCTTACAGAATCGCCTTCACCCGCTGGTCCTGAAAATAGAGACAACAAATTGCTGTCTTTGTCTCTCACAATCCCACCAATTCCGGATGGCCCTGGGTTACCTTGGCAGCTGCCATCAAAATTCAATTTTACCACTCCATCCGGTGGGGGTTTCCATTCAACTTGTGATTTGTTCTTGGTGGAGAGTGTAGAAGCCACTGCTGCCCAGTTTCTCCTTAAGTCATCAAAATATTAATCTGCCAACAAATGTAAAGATTTTAACCATGAGATTGTCCTTGTCAATATGCATTCATTGATTTCAACAAGACTTCTTTCCTTTTCTAGAAATATTCTAGCATTTCCCTCCTCCCATAATATCCACAAGGTAGCAGCTCCGATACATTTCCACATTAGCTTACCTCTTTTTGTCAATCTCCCAAAAGTAGCCGGAGTGAAAAGCAGCTTTACTTCAGAGGGCAAGTTCCACCTGCACCCAAATAAAGAAACAACCCAGTTCCAAATATTGGCAGCAAAGGAGCACGATATCAGCAAATGGTTACAGTCCTCACCCTTCATTTTACACAGAAAGAACCAATTTGGGGACAAACACATAAAAGGTTTCTTCTTTTGCAAGTTTTCTACAGTATTGATCTTACCATAATAGGCTTCCCAACAGAACGTTGCTATTTTGGAGGGTATTGGCCTTGACCAAACCTCTTTAACAATGAAGTCCTGAGAGGAGGGGTTGGAGCAAAGGGCTTTAAAGAAAGATGCACAAGTGAAGGAGCCAACCGGGGTTAGGGACCAGACTGTTTTATTCGGGTTAGGGAGGTCCAAACACACCAAGTCTAGAAGCAACAATAGCAATGAAACACAGAAATTCTTCATCCCTTAACCCTCTTCGAAACCCAAAATCCCAGTTTAAAGTCAAAGGGCAAACCAGGGGGGGGGGGGGGGGGGGGAAGTAACCATGAAATGGGTTTCTTTTTAAAGAGGGAGATGGAATAGAGAGAAGGGAAACGGTCTTTTAGGGGTTGAGTGCTCACCTCTAAAAGAATGGAGTTTCCAAAACAAGCATTGTACCTTACAAAACTGAGGAATTTAGGGAGAATGTCAGAGATAGCCTTCCAAGGTGTCGTGAGCAAGTCCCTTCGGGATACCCCCGCATCCCAACCTAATTCAGAACAGCCATGAATACTTTTCACTACTTCATGCCACAACCTCTCCCTCTCCAAGGGCCACCTCCAAAGCTACTTACCTAAAAGAGCCTCATTCTTACTCACCACATTCCCTAAGCCTAGGCCTCCTTTTTTGCTCTGACTCACCACCTCCCACCTAATCAACCCTCATCAGTTTTTCTAACCTCTTTGCCTCCCTTTTGGGAATTCTAAAGACTGACAAGAAGTATAAAGGCAAATTGGCCAAAGTTGCTTTAATCAAACTAACTCTACCCCCCACGGAAATATAGTTTCTCTTCCAAGCTACTAATCTTTTTTCGAATTTTTCCACCATCGGGTTCCAAAATCTACTCTCCTTTGGATTTGCACCTAATGGAAGTCCTAGGTAGGATAGAGGCCACTGAGAGCAAGTGCATTCTGACGAGGCTGCTATAGACTCCATCTCCTCTCTGTTCACATGAACTTCCACAACATAGCTCTTCTCAAATTTACCTTCAAATTTGAGGAGCTCTCAAAGTGAACTAATAAATCCTACAGATTCCTTACCTCCATCAAATCACAACCTTCGCAAAAGATTATTATGTCATCTGCAAATTGAAGATGGGTTACTGAACTCTATCTCTACCTATTCTCCACTGTCTTAGAGATACGGCTCTATCCGCTTCTGAGAGGAATCTACTAAAAGCATCGACGACTAAAGTGAAAAGGAAAGGTGACATGGGATCACCTTGTCTCAGACCCCTACTAGCTGGAAAAAAATCATTAACTACCCCGTTGACTAGGACGGAATAATGGCAATTGGAAAAGCAACTGTTTATCCATTTGCACCATTTATCCCCAAACCCACACTTCCTTAGCATGAGTAATAAGAATCCCCAATCCACTAGGTCATAGGCCTTTTCAAGATCTAGTTTACAAGCATAACCTTGACGCCCGATCTCCTCAGCTCCTCCACACATTTCATTTGCTATTAGAATCTGATCTACAATTTGTCTTCCCTGAACAAAAGCTCCTTGCGCTTGGTTGATAAGACAAGGAAGCACCTTTTTTATCCTAAAAAACAAAACCTTAGCCACAATCTTGTATACACTACCAAACTAATAGGTCTAAAATCCTTTGGATGCTTGGCCTCATTCTTCTTGGGAATTAAGGCTAAAAAAGTAGCATTAATTCCACGACTCATCACTGGATTATCCTCAAATTCCTTGAATACCTTACTTAAATCTTCTTTGACTATGTCCCAACAATCTTGAAAGAAAGCCATTCTAAACCCATCTGGCCCTGGTGCTTTAGATCTGTCCATGGAAAAAACGGCTTTTCTAATTTCTTCCTCCTCAAAATTCCTTTCCAACCAGCTTCTACTCTCTTCTGGAAGCCTCTACTAGGTCACACCTTCCAACTCCACACTAGGTCTTAAGGATCTCCTCAAAATGGATTTGAAATGGTCAATAAAACAATTGGCTATCCTCTCTTGGGTATCAAAAACTATTCCATCCACTTCTAGTTTAGACACTAGATTTTTCCTCCTCCTTCCACTGGCTACGCCATGAAAGAATTTAGTGTTCCCATCTCCTTCCTTAATCCACTTACATCTAGACTTCTACCTCCAAGAATTTTCTTCTCTCAAAATGACTTCGTCGAACTCTCTTTTCAGTTTCCATCTCCGATCTCTATCCTGAGTGCTTATGGCTCTTTGGGAGAGGATTTAGGTCAACAGAGAGGATTTCATTTCTTCTATCTTTTCAGTTTCCATCTAGTTCCTCTATTTGGGTCAACAGAGAGGATTTCATTTCTTCTATTTCATCTATTTGGGTCAATAGAGAGGATTTCATTTCTTCTATTCTCCCAAAATGCTCCCTATTCCAATCTTTTACATGTACTCTCAATCTTTTTTGTTTTTTGTGAAATCTTACCCCTTTCCACTTCACCCCCCTTAGGTCTTCTCTCCACCATTCCTCAACCTTCTTCACGAAGTCCGGGTGAATCAACCACATGTTCTCAAACCTAAAGGGTCAGGGTCCTTGACTAAAAGGCTCCTGTCTTAGGCCAATGGGGCAATGGTCAAATGTGACTCTAGGTAGAGACCTTGTTATCAAGTCCACCCACTTATTTTCCCAACTTTCATTGAAAAGGAACCTATCTGAAAGTTGGACCAAGTATAGAGAACTTGTAGCAATGGGAGTTCCTTTAACTCACAGTTATTAATAAAATCATTGAATCTCCGTATGCTGGTTGTAATGACCTTCTGGGGATTATTTGATTCATTCATAAATTGAATTACATTGAAATCTCCCCCTAAGCACCAAGGACCATCCCAAAGCCCTTCTATCCCATAAAGTTCTTCCCAAAATTCATTCCTTTCTCTATAATTGCTTGGTCCATACACATTAGTTGGTGCCCAAGTAAATCCATCCTCTACCATCCTGAATTTTAAGGACACTGAAAATTTACCTACTAGCTCCTCCAAAACCTCCACCATATCCTCTCTCCAAAAAGTAGCAATTCCCCCCGGAGCCCCCCAAGAAGGTGCTGAAACCCAACTTATTCCTCTAGATTTTCAGATGCATCTTGCCCATCTTCTATCAATATCAGCTAATTTGGTCTCCTATAGCATCACTATATCCAGCATTTCCCTTCTAAGGAGGTCCTTAATTAGCCTTCTTTTCCTAGCACTCCCTAGCCCCCTCACATTCCAACTAATGAGTTTCATGGAGATAAGAGATATGGCCTCCCCTTCTTAGATCAGGCCCCTACTTGGAGGCTTTCCTTCTCTCCCCTCTTCCGATGAATTCCAAATTTTCTTCTATATCTGATTTCAACCTTTCCACCTTTGATCTTTTTTTCTTCCTTCGGTTGTTAATTATTCCAGATCTGCTTAAGACTGCTTTTGTTTTGTTTTGCCTTTCCGAAATTCCCTGGTTTTCCTCCAAAGATTCATCTGTTTGCCTATACTCCTCAAGGAGAGCAAAATCTGTCCCCAAATCCTATCTGATTCCTCCTTCTGCATCTTTCCCATAATTGATTCATCCCCAACTTCTTTGCTACTTTGAGCCCCTGTTTTTACTAAATCTTCTTGAGCCTCATACTTCCCTACCTCTTCCTCTTTTCTCTTGTACTTCTCCAAAAACATACAGATCTGATCCCAGATCTTCTCTAACTCCTCTTCCTGTAATTTTCTTCCCCTTACCACTTCCTCTTGTTCTTTGCCCTCCTTGTCCCCAAATAAATACTTACTATCCATGGCTGCTACATCAAGTTGAGCTACAAAAGTACCTGTTCCGGGCAGAAAACCCACATCAGTACCAGAAAACAAATTGACAATATTACCTGAAAGGTTGTGGGAAGAGGGCAATGACTCTTGAGAAGCAACACAAAGGGGCAAGGTCACGGCTAATCCTTCCAAAAGAGATGACTGTGGGTTCCCATTGTGTTCAACCAATGTTGTTTTAGTCCTTGCATCAGAATCTGCCTTTAGATGTTGTCCCCTGATTGATGATTCTATGATCGGTGACCAAGGTATGTCATGTTCCTCTAGCCTTCATCAATTTCGTGCTGCTCTAGTGAACTGGGAGCATATATAAGAACTAGTATTCCCCTGCCTCTCCCCTACAATAGCTATGATAAACTCCAATTCCTTAGGTAAAGGGAGAATTTGAGAGTGCTCCTTCTGGGATGAGTTTGTTAAGCCTGAATCATCATTTTCCAAAAAAAGCAGCTCGGTGTGTAGGCTCTCATCAGCACTGAGAGGTTTGGCTTTTTTCAGTTCCATACTTCCAATACTTGAAGAGCCTTCAGACTCTAATTCTGGGCTACTTTCTTCGTCCATCGCATAGTCCTCAAACGTGTTCGTAATATTATGATTTATTGTCATCGGAATGAGGGAACACCCTGTCTCCATTCTCGTCGGATGCTTCTTGAACCTCGGATTGCACCATTCTAGAGAATTGACTTTTTTTTCTTCTTGCTTAGAGCCCATGCCCAGTTCAGATTTGCCGCTCCACTGCAGCTAACCTTTTTTCCTACAAGCGGTGGTTGAGTTTTGCTCGAGGGGGACAATGATAGAACATCTTTTTGGTCCATCATCTCCCCTTTTCCTTTGGTCACAGGCCTACTTAAAGTGGCGTGTGGCTTGTTAAGAACTGGGTCCAAACAATTTAAAACAGTCGGCCCAATCATAGGAATAGACCCATTAATTTCTGATGGGCCTGGGCCCAGCCCCCCCAACCTCTTTACCAGTCACGTGTTTACTTAAAACATCATGTGACTGGCCTCGGTTCATTGGACCAGAATGAACTGGCTCATAAGACCGTCTTGAAACCTGAACCCTTGCCGACCTTTGTTCATTTTCTTTTGAAATTTGAACTCCAGGTGCAAGTCTATCTCCATTTAATCCTCCTGTCACCAACTGAACATAGGACCTACCATCCCTCAGCCCAACCTGCCATGCAAACTTTCCCCAAGTGTTTAAATTATTCTTTTTTTCTTGGTTACCTCAATTGACTTAGCCTCTTTTGTAGTGACTACTCTGCCTTGCAAACCACGCAAACAGGCATGTATTGTCCCTTCATCTTCCTCCCTTCTTCCCTCCTTCCAAAGATGGGCTTCGATGGAGGTAGCAAGCCAAACGGGGTATACTAAACCATCTGAAACAGCCTCTATCTTCCTTGGAATGTCACTGGGTTTAACACCACCTAGCATCACTGCAACTGAATGGAGATCACAATCAAAAACACCATCTAATCTTGCATCACAGATTACAGCTATTGACTATAATACTTCCTCCTTCTAGAGATTGAAAGGTAACCCAAGCAACCTGGTTATTACATTGTCCTCAATCTCAAAACTTTTGGTATTAGAGAGAGGACACCATTTCAAGACTGTGGCAGCAACAGCCTCTGAGTGAATATTTAAAGCTGAAATCTCTACTTCATCTTCACCCTATCTAAGCTTTACAAGATTCATAAGGAGTAATCACCATCGGCTTTTGTAGGTCTAATTCTCTGAGTATCGCCCGCGCAATACCTCTCCAATCCTTTGGTGGACATGAAGTTTCCACCACAAATTTCTTCCCCAAATCCTCCTTTTCTATTGTTGCTACCAGTGTACAACTTCTTTTTCCTTTTTCTGCAATCATCCATTTCCTATCAATGGGTTCCTCTCTCTCTTTTGTTTACCCCCTTTCTTTTCCTTCGCTACAGCCTCTACTTGTTTTGTTTTCAGCTGCTGAGTAAAATCACTCAATACCTCTGCCACTACCTTCCATCCATTACCCCTTCTACTTTCTGGGAAACAAACCAACTACTTCTTTCTTCCTCCAAAGAATTCCTGCAGAGTTATGTAGCATCCTTTTGYATTCTTTTTGCWTTCYAACTCATAACTMTTTCTTCCATCAAGGTTGAACTTCGTAAAGTTCATTTGTTTACCTTTAGAACTTGCTTCTGAAACAAACTTCTGCATCCATTCGATCACTTCAAGACCTTCCAGCAGTATTGTAGCTTTCTTTGCCTCCCTAATCTTCAAGCTCCGCTGGCCTCTGATCCTTATCTCTTCAAATATGAAATCTTTTGCTTCAATCTTCATCGCTTTCCTCCATCTTGCAACTTCTACGAACCTATTCTCCATCCTCTCTACTCTTCCTTAACATCAATATCACCCTTTCAATGTATTTTTTCACTTCTTTCTCTCCCTATTTTCTCTCTTATTCCTTAAAGAAGCCATATTACAGCCATCAACATCCATAAAACTTTGATCAAGAAGACCATTCAACATTCTCTAAGTACTAGAACTGAGCTGGTCCTACATCAGAGGACCTCAACAAGGACATATAAAGTTGAATTTTGATACTGCACATGACATGTTTGAATACCTAGACAAGGTCTATCAGTAGTCAAACATGTCTAGGCAATGTCTGATTGAGTTAAAAATATTTTTTTATGCTCAGGAAGATAAAAGAATTCAAGAATACTATGCTGGTTTTGTGAATTTCTGAACTGAATATGAGATGGTTCATTTAGGGGATTTATCCACATATTGTTGTGTGAAGGAGATGAAGAAACATTTTGACAAGAGAAAAGTTATGCATTTTTTATTGCACCTTCAACCTGACTATGAGGCTATAAGGTCAAATATTCTCAGTAGGGAAACTATACCTAATTTAGATATTATTCTTGGTGAGCTCTTGAGAGAGGAAACTTGGCTTCATACTCAATCCTTCCTTGATGGCAAGAAATAGCATGGTTTAGATACAGTGTTTCTGACCACCAAGAAAAAGGGGAAGAAAGATTTCTCAAATATACAATGTTATGAATGCAAGGAATTTAGACATATGGAATCTCATTGCAAGAAAAAGAACTTTTGTACCAACTACAAGCAATTAAGCCATATTATTGTTGAGTTCCCCACTCGACCTCCTAAGAAAGGACAATCTAAAGCTTATCTTGTTGTAGTCGATTCATCTGATATCTCATCCTCCACTTCAGTCTCCTAAACCATGTTCCCTAGATAATTGCATTGTCACTGCTAATGGCAGAAGTCTTTCTATTAGTGGTTGTGATGATCTTTTTTTATCTACTTCCAAGGCATCCTCCTTTCATCTTCCCAAAAGTTTCTTTGTTCCAAAATTGACTACTAACTTGATTTCTATTGGTCAACTTGCTGATGATGGTAATAATGTTATCTTTTCTCGTAATGGTTGTCTTATTCAAGATCAATGCATTGGGAAGCTAAAGGGGAAGGGGTTTAGGATTAGAAGATTTTTTCTTTAGAATTTGAGGACAAGAATTCTGCTTCATCTTCTTGTTTGCTATCTACTACCTCCAGTTTATCTTCTACTTCTTTTTTATGAATATTTATCTTCTACTTCTTGTAATAATGCGTGGCATTTATGGCATAGAAGATAAGGCCACACTCATGCATATAACTTGGATTATATGTTTGTTTCTGGTGTTTTACCTATTAATGCTTCTTCATTTAAGAATGTTGATAAATCCTCTTCAATAAAAGCCATTTTCTGCCTTTTCCACCTTCTTCTAAGCTTGCATCTGTTCCTTTTCATATTATTCACAGTGATGTTTGGTCGTCTCTTGTTATTTCTCGCTTGGGATATAGATATTTTGTGTTGTTCAGTGATGATTGCACTTTGCACACGATATACATGGGTGTAATTTCTTTCAAAGAAACCTGAAGTATTTCCTACATTCAAGAATTTTCATGTTATGGTATAGAATCAATTTAATAGTACCATAAATATCCTATTATCTAATTCAGGGGGAGAACATTTTAATGGAGAGTATGGTGAATTTCACAATTATCTTACCAACATGGCATTTTATCCCATAGATCTTGCCATGAACTTCACAACAAAACGGGGTGGCTGAGCGCAAGAACCGTGATATTGCTAGTATAGTGAGAGCTCTTTTACATGATTCCCATGTCCCTATTACCTTATGGGTGAAGGCGACCAGCACAGTTGTATATCTTATTAATTTACCTCCTTCTTCTGTTCTTGAAAATTCTTCATTTCAAGCCTTTTTTCATCATCCACCTGACTAATCCATGCTTCATTTTTTGGTTGTGTATGCTTTGTTCATCTTCTCCCTTTGATATGATCCCAAAGTTCATCATCTTCGCATTTCCCATAATGTCATTTTTCATGAAAATATTTCGTTCTTTGAGCATGTTGTTAAGTTGCCTGCACCATCCCTCTTTATTTTGCATCAACTTCACTCTACAAATGATTCTCATGTTTATTATAGGAAGCATCTAGTTCCTTCCACACCTGTGCTCCCTCCATCTTCAACACCAGATCCTATGCATCTTCCTTCCATTACTTCCATTGTAAGTTCTCCTCCCTTTGTTGACTCACCCACCCTTGTTCCTTACATTGCTCCACCCATATTTCTCATCCTCCTGACAATTATGGTTTTCCTCCAAACTATAATTCTTTGTCTATCATTTTGTACTCTACAAATATTCGGTCTTATTAACAAGCCACAGTTGTTAAGCATTGGAAAGATGCTATGGATGCAGGGATTTAGGCCTTAATGGAAAATGATACTTGGGACCTTGTCCCTCCTCCTCCAAATGCTTAAATCATTGGTAATAGATGGGTTTATTCAATGAAAACTCAAATCTGATGGCACCTTGGATAGATGCAAAGCTCGTCTAGTTGCACAAGGTTACAAGCAAGAGTATGACATTGACTATGATGAAACATTTGCTCCCATGGCCAAGATGACTAAAGTTTGTCTCCTTTTGGCCATTACTACTATTAAACATTGGCCTATGCATCAGATGAATGTTAAGAATGCTTTTCTTAATATGCAAACTCAAGAAATCACTTTATGGGCTCAAGCAAGCTCCCAAAGCTTGGTTTGAACGTTTCCGTTCAGTTGTTCTAGAGGCTGGTTTTCAACAAAGTTACTTTTGATTATTCTCTTTTCACCCTCAAGAGGTCCCAAGGACTAACCCTCCTTTTGGTATGTGGATGACATACTAATCACTAGGATTATATGGGTGGGAATGACAAATAGAAGCTCCTTCTCAACAACACCTTCAAAATGAAGGATCTAGAGCCAGTCACTTATTTTTTTGGCTTTAGAAATTAAAAGTTCATCCTAAGGGTATTTTGTCAACCAACAAAAGTATGCTTCCGATCTTGTGCACGTGGCCCACCTTATAGACTCTATGCAGGTTGACACTCCCTTGGAACTCAATTTGAAGTTAAGCACGGATGTTGGTTGCTCCTTGATGCCAATTTGTATCGGCAACTTGGGGGCAGCCTCATCTACCTTACTATGACTAGACCGGATATCTCTTGTGTTGTTTAAATTGTCAATCATTTTATTTTTGCTCCTCACTAGCCCCATTTTTCAGCAGTTCTTCACATCATTCGTTATGTACAGGGGACAATATCTCATAATCTATTTTTCCCATCCTCATCTAATTCTCGACTTAGAGCCTATGCTATTGCTGATTGGGCTGGCTGCCCTGACACATGCCGCTCCACTATTGCTTGGTGTATCTTTCTTGGAGATTCTCTAATCTCCTAGAAATGCAAGAAGCAACAAATTGTGTCCAAGTCATCCACTGAAGCAAAGTGTCGTGCTATGTCCTCTGTCTATAGTGAGATTGTGTGGCTCCATTCCTCTATTTGTTAACAACATGAGTGCCATCAAGATAGCATCCAATCCTATCTTACATAAGTATGCCAAGCATATTGAAGTGGATTGCCATTTTATTAGAGATCTTCTTGTGGCCATATTTCTCATCCCCATGTTTTTTCCGGCCTACAACTTGCAGATCTATTCACCAAATCTATGTCTCGGGCTAGGCATACATTCCTTGTTGACAAATTGGTGCTTGTGCCCCAGCATCAGTTTGAGGGGATGTAGAGGGAAGGGGTAATTTTTTCATTATACTTCTCTTTTGTACCATATTATTAGTATAGTGTGTATACTAGACATCTCTGTACCTTATTGTACTTTATTCTCTTATGTAAGGGCAGTATTGTACTTTTGCCCTTTTTAATATAAAGATATGTTTCCTGGTTGGGTCGAGACATCATAACCAACCGAACAGACTTGGTGTTCCCTACTCTTCCTCCCTTCTCTCTCTCAGTTTCTAGGTTAACAAGGGCACCCTCTCCCCATCAAGGACAGGGAGAATCCCAGAATTTTTACAGCCAGAAGGCAACCACCTAAGAATATACATTAAATTTGGATGTATTTTAGAAATAGGATTATGGGAATTTGGGGTATATTAGAAATTGGATTAAGGGAATTTGGGGGTATTTTAGAAATGGGATTATGGGATCCTAGAGGTTTTAAGAATTTGGGAGAAACTTAGGAATATTTTAGAAATTAATATTAAACATAGGGGAATTTTAGTAATTTTACCACCAGGTCCAGGGCAGGTTTGGGGAATTAACCATTGCTATGGTAGAAGATCAATTCTATTGGCCTGGCCTAAGAAAGAATGTGGCAAGACTTGTCAATTGGCTAAAGGTAGGAAGCAAAACATAAGATTATATATTGGCTATACTGCAAGAGTCATGGCAAGACCTTAGCATGGATTTTGTTTTAGGATTACCAGAGTCCCTTCAAGGCTTTGATTCAATTTATGTTGTTGTTGATAGGTTTTCCAAGATGGCACATTTCATCCCTTGCTCAAAAAACTTCAGATGCCTTGTTCATAGCTTAATTGTTCTTTAAGGAAGTTGCTCATTGCACAAGCATGCCAAAGACCATTGCATCAAATCATGATGTGGCATTTATGAGTTACTTTTAGCAAACTCTTCCAGAGATTATGAATACTAAGCTCAAGTTTTCTGCTACATATCACCCTCAAATTGATGAACAAGCTGAGGTAGCAAATAGGAGCATAGGGAATTTGTTACGTTGTCAAGTGGGGGACCATGTGACTACTTGGAACCAAGTTCTACAAATGACTGAGTTTGCTCACAATAGTTTGGTGAATCATATAATACAATTATCACCAATTTGAAGTGGTTTTGGGCATCAAACCTTGCCAACCAATTGATTTGGTCCTTTGCCCATTGAAGCACGACCAAGTGAAGAAGCAAATTCCTGTGCTCAACACATTCATGGTATTCATAAGGAAGTTAAATACAAGATTGCAACTAACAATGTTAAGTATAAAGCACAAGCTGGTTCCCATCGGCGTTTTGTAGAATTTGATGTTGGTGATAAGGTCATGGTGCAATTTTTTTTTTTATCAATATCATGGTGCAATTTTGACCAGAGAGATTTCCTAAAGGGACCAACCAAAAGTTTCACTCTAGAAATGTTAATCCATACAAGATTGTAAAGAAAAACAGTTGCAATGCTTATGTTTTGGATTCCTTGATGGTTTAAATACAAGTCCCACATTTAATGTTGAATATTTGATTCTATCATGGGCACCATGAAGATGAGAGACATGAAAAATAAAACTTTAAAATTCCAACTGTCCCCAAGTTAAACGAGAGACTGAATATGCACGTGATGACTAATTGGTGTCAACATGCAATGGAGGTTAATCAGAAGTTTCTTCTTAAGTATAAGGGCAGACCTATTTTTATTGTACTTGGGTTACTGCAGCAAACTTCTAAGCCATCAATTTGGATTTGTACAAGCAAGACCAATCCTTAAACTCGCCAAAGTTGAGTTCATTCAAGCCAAGGAGAGTTGAAAAAGAAAAGAAATGGGGCTAAAAGAAAGACCCAATCCAAAGACCATGGGCTTGTAACCATATTTGCAGCCTACATGCAAGACAGCCCATTCCAGCAGAGATGGTAAGCTCATGTGGGGCCCATAAAGATTCCCTCAATCAAAGATTTGAGGCTCATACAAACTCTCTCAATCAAAAGATTTGATTTAGCATCATGTCAATCAAAGATTGAAAAAATATTTTAGATTTGTTTCTTTCCATGTTTACTACTGATAAGAGATTGAGAGAACATTTTAGATAAGATATATTTCTTTCCTTGTTTAGTTACATTTGATTAGGAAGATAATTATATTGTAAATCTCAGAAAGGATTGAATGCTCGTCTAATATATATATAGATATATAGATATATAGATATAGATATATATATATATAGATATCATTGTAAAGACTGTCTAGAGATGACGAATGAAAGAGTTTTGAACTGCTCCTGTAAGTTTTATAGTTTGGTGCTGACTCAAAGCTTATGAAGGTGCCAACTCCTTCATCTCTAGCTGCTGACTCCTAGAGGAACCTAATGGTGCTGACTCCATTAGGACCTATCTTGAATTTACTGTAATTAGCTTAGTTCGTCATTGAATGTGATATACTAAATCACAACCTTAATTTTTTTTTTTTTGATAAATGAATCACTATCTTAATATTCCAAGTTTGTTTTTCTTTAACAGTCTATGTTCCTCTTGTGTTTTAGGTTATTTCTTTAACTTCTACATGCCTCTTACCTCCCTACCAATCTTTCATTTGCATTTTCATTGTTAATGAAGTTCTACAATCCCCTCTAAGTGGTACAGCAGCCATCCTACCATCTCTTTCAAACTTATTATTGTTTTTTTCAAACTTAACGCCATTTGAGCCCCTGTTCACCACATTTTCAATTTCTGCTTGCTTCCCTGCTTAGTGATTTTTCAATCACTTTAGGTTCTGTCCAATCTACTTAGCAGAGCAAGTAAATGCTAATTTTCAACCAATAAACTGAGAGCTTTCTGAGCCTTTTTCCGGCTAAGTTAGGGTTTATTTCAGCCACATAATTAGCTGCTGCTTAGGTAGTTCCTGCATCACTTCTCCTCCTCCTTGAATGGTGAATCCTTCTATTTCAAAGAAATAAACTCCATGAACTTTATCCATCATCATCATTGTCCAAACTCCCACATACCCACTTGCAATACCAGGTGAAAAGAGTAGAGGATTGCAGAATCACTCCTCTACAACCTCTTTAAAATAACAGAATCAGGAAAATTAAAAAAAAAAACCTTGGACTAAAATATGGTCATTACCCAATGTTGGTCCCAGCTGTATGAGGTCTTGGGAACTGGATACAGTCCTAACCTTTGGCATTTTCCTTGCACATAGTGGTTGCTATCAGACTCATACAATGTTCTCACACTTGCCAGCATGAGATTTTACCATTACAACTAGGACTAAATTCCCCAAAATAAAGGCTCCTTAAATGTTAAATACATACTTTAACAAAAGATAGATAATAAAGAGGAAATGTGAACCAAGATATATGTTCTAATAGGTGGGAAAGGGAGATACTGACAAAATGGTTTTGCTTTCCTTTTCCATCTCCATATGAAAACCAATCAACAGTAAATTTGGTTTGTTTCAGTAAAATAACTGCAAAGCTTTTCTGGAGGTTTTTCTAGATAATTTCAAAAATAACTGGTTTTCTATGGATATAGGGGGGAAAGACCCACTTCTTTATTTTTCCTTGCAGAAATATCATCCTTTCAACAAAGAAATATAAGTGGAAAATCTGACATTGGAAAATTACGTTATAATGCCATAGTTTTGACATACAAAAGGATCATGAATACATTCAAATTCCAGGCTTACTACTGAAGAAATGATGCACATGAAATCCTACTACTATGTACTTCGAATATAAACCTGAAGAGGATGATGGCAACAAGGACCAAAAGTAACACAAAAAAGTAAGTTCATCTACTCAAGAAGAGTGACGATAGATGAATTAAGGGAATCAAAAGCTTGATCTGAAAACTAACAACTTTATTTAGAAAGAAAATAATGTCTACCAAGATCAAGTAAAAATGTGAGCAACAAGCCCTATAAGTCTGTGAGATGGAAACAGCCAAAAAGACAATTAGGGGAGGGTGAACAATGATGAAGGGGCATAAGCAACAAATGAGAATATGAAACTTGTAAATCTATCTGGATCTTGTACACAAAAATATGAACTACCTCTGTTATGTACAGGTATTGCACATAACCAGGTGACATGGAGAAATTGCACATAGAGGAATCTCCATAAGAAAGCACCAGAAAGATGTTATGGGAAAAAAAATACTATCCTGTGCTGTCTCTTGTTCCCAATATCATTGTAAGATAGCATGGAAGCACTGAATGGTGAAGTAGGCATATACTCATTGTCGCATCAAATGATAGAAGCTCCACAAGACCTTGCAAATGCATCTCCATGGTGAGTGCTCTCCATGACAGTAGCACAAATCAGGGGGAGTAAACCATAATATTCAAAAAACATTTTGGAATATAAAATCAGTATAAAATGGAAAAAACATAAAAGGCAACTTGAAAGAACTGCAATTGAAATGAACTTCCATTACATTCTGAAATTTTTAAAAAGTATAGTTACAAAAAGCAACTAGGGAATACATGCTGAATGGTGATTTCCATCTATAAACATATTGTATCTGTCATTCTAGCACTTCTAACTGGATTTCCACCTCCTCTCAATCCTATCATATATATCTCTTTCGCTTCCCCCCTCCTTGTAGAAAGCAGTTTTCAACTTTTCCATTGTTGATTCATATATATTAATTCTCATAGCAAGCATATCATCCACAAACCTTCTTATCTCCTTCAGCCTACCCAAATCACGAAACCCAATAAGCAACATATTTGAGCTCTCATCAAGAGGAGAAACACAACTGTCAACCATGTACATCCACACATCAATTGCAAGCTCAGGATCATCTCCATCAAAAAACAACTTGATGGCTGCTGCACAATTAGAGTGAGTTGGAGGGAATTCATTCTTCTTCATCTCTGAGAAAAATCTAGCTGCTTCATGAACCCTCCTGTTCTTAATCAGGCACTGAAAAATCATATTATAGGTGAGGGAATTCGGGAATGCACCATAGTAGACCATCTCATCAAGGAAACGGAAGGCATTGTCAACCTCGTTGCTGTTGCATAGCAAGCCAATCATTGCATTGTACATGACCAGATTAGGAACCAAGCCGCTATCCACCATAATGTCCCACAGGGACACAGCATGGGTTGAATTGCCCTGCCTAATAAGAATATCTAGAGCATTGGAGAAGAATTTCATGCCTGGAAGGCAGTTCTTCCCCTTCATAACCTTTAGAAACTTGATTGCTTCATCCGCCTGTGCTCCACGGACAAGAGTTGTAAGAAATGCATCATAAGCTGACATGTTCTGTGGGCTCCAACCTACCCGAATCACCATCTCTCCAAATGTGGTCTTCGCTTTGGTGGCATTCCCTTCTTTCTCCCACCCTTCCAACAAAATTGCAAAAGTGTCCGCATCTGGGGGGACTTTGGTCTTGATACGCTCAAAGAACTCAAGGGCTTTTGAGGTCTGGTTATCCTCACGGCAGATTGCACTGAGGAGAGAGTTCACAGCAACAACATCATGCTGAATTCCATACCGGTCCATAACATCAAACGTCATGATGGCTTCATCAATCTTGCTGGCAGCGCAGTAGCTGCCAAAAACAGAAGCAAAAGTCGCCATTGAGAGCACACCCTCTTGCTTCATAGACCGGATAGCATCCCACATTGCTTCGAAGAGTTGATTTTTACCAAGCAAATCAATCATTAGATTCCACGAATAAGATGTGTGCTTTGTTGCCAACCCCGCCCATCTGAAGAACTTCACAGCAGCGGCCGGAGATCCATAAGTGTGCCTAAGCACCTCTTCGACATACTCCGATCTCGGTGGAATCCCAGTACGTTGTAGCTCAGCATCAATTTCAGGAACAGGGACTTTTGAGAGGATTTCACAGAATTTCTTGGCACCAGGGGAGATATTCGGGGTATCAAGATACGAAGGGAAGGTCTGTGACGACCTCTGAGGAAGTTGGGATTGCGAGGAAGAAGTTTTCTGCGAATGCTTAGAAGGAGGCACGTTGGCTCCCTTTCTAGGCTTTTCGGCCATGGCCGCCATTAGAAAGAGAGGGACAAAAGCAACCCTAGAACATAAACCGCAGAACAATACAGAATGCTTTCGAACCCTAAATTGGATAATCGAAACCCTAAAATTAATGACCAAAATAAAGAGTAGAGCAGATATATGGATCAAAATTAACTAAAAAAATGGCAATACGTGAAATCCAAGAAGAAACTATTAAAATAAAATTGTAATAGAGATAACATAAATAGAGACACAAAGAAAAGAGAGAGAGAGAGGGAGAGAGGGTTTGAAACCTTTATTAGATGCATGGCGATGGATACGGCGGAAGCGGAGAGACGAACTTTGAAAGATTCGGTGGCTTCTTCTCGCCGCCGTGAAATGACACCATTTAAGCTCTCTGGCTCTCTCCCTCAAATATTTATTCGACCGGTTAGCATAAGTGCATAACCCGCCCGCCAGAATGTTGTAATTCCATTTTCGCCGGGCCGGCCCCATACATTGGGCAAACATCGGGTTTTGTATGTCTACCATTACTCGTCTTTTTTTTTTGTGTATATGTGATACCCATCACACTAAAATACTTTTGTGATTTTCTGTTTTTTCTATCTTTGTAAGGATTTATTAATTATCTATGTTGTTGGAGTTTGCAGATGTTATGACTTACTTTTGGAGTTCATTGATTATAGGAGAGGAGTGTTTCTTCGATCCAGGTTTAACTTTTCTTTTTTTGTTTTTTATTTATATTTTGTGATTCAGGTCTAATAGTTTTATTTTTCTACTTTTGTAGATGCTCCACAGTTGAAGGTTTTCTTTTTCTCTCTCTTGGGCAGGGATTGACATTTCAGTCCTATTTCTCATTCGATCAAACGATGATAAGGTTTTACAAAAGTGGGTTTTTACAAAAGTCTTCTTTCTTAAGACTTTCAAATTCAACCTCTCAGACTCAACAAAGATTTGGGGCTTTAAAGGAGACCATCAAGACTCAACTCCCTATCTCCAATCTCCCTCTATCCTTGGTTCTTGCGTCGACAACCACCATTTGCAAGTTTGCAACGTAGGCTTGCAATGAAAGCGTAGCTTTTTATTTTTATAACCCCAAAATTTACTCTATGTGGAGGGGCGTCATCTTAAAATTTATTAACCATCAAAAGTAAAAACAACTATAACAAGGGAGGACTTAGCCTGTCTTGCCCCAAACCCAAGATACATATCTCTCAACCTTAACCTCTCAGCCCAGCCAACAAGAAATGTCATGAATAGATTATCTAACTCTTAAATTGGGTAAGCCTATAAAATTTTTAAAAACTAACTTTTTTTACCTAATCTAGTATATGTGAAATAGTGTCAACGCTAATGAATCCTTGCAACAATCCACCCATTTTAGCCAAATAGTGTGTTGGACTATTTGCTTCACTATACACATGCTTTATTGAGTAATTGCAGGAGTCAAGGAACCTTTTGATTTCAACTACACACTAATGAATACTCCATGAAATAAAGGTTGAGTTGAAGAGGTTTGCCACCGTAGAATTATCACATTCAACCTCTATAATAAAATAATCATGGTGAATACACATATTAATTTCATCCCGAAGAACTTTAATTTATGCTTGAAGAAATGTACAAATACCATAAGGGCTTGAGAAAGCTTGAGAAATCTGCCCTTATCATCACAAATCAAACCTCCCCGGCTTCCTACACCTAGGTTTGCTCAACAAGCACCATCAGAATTTAGTTTTACCTTGCCACATTACCCATTTATATAGCTTTGATTTGATGGGCTTAGGTGGAATTGGAAAATCAATCATCCACCAATCATTTGCATCCTCAGTAGTGGGTAATGAAGTAACTTTATCAATTTCAACAATCCAATTTCTGATGCATTCGATTACCTGGCTTGCAGGGATAGACTTGCCATTATAGATTCATCTACACCTTTCCACCCAGATTTCCCAAAGTAGCATCCAAGGCAACACCCTAAGAACTTGGTTACGATGGGAGTTATTGTTGCATGTGCTCCACTAATCTAGAATGCGGTCTCTAATGTGTTGGGTGGAGTGAATTGGAATGCCAATTTTTTCTGCAAAGAACTTCCAACATTTTGTATTTAAGATTCCATTAGAGAATAGGTAATCAAAAGATTCTTCATTAGCATATCTACAACACCTACATTTAGAGGCTAAAAGTATCCCTTTTTGTTTGATAGCCATGTCCACTGGGATTGCTTTATCAAGAAAACACCACATAAAAATCAAAATCTTGGTGGGGATACCAAAATTCCAAACATACCTTGACCAACTTACTTAAGTGCCCTGTGAGTAGACTTGTTCATGTACCGAGACGGGCCAGGCTTTTCACTCTGTATTTATAGATTTTTGTAAGGCCCGAGCTCAATCTCGGCCCGACCATCGGGCCTACAACTTGGGCCCAAGCCTGGTCCTCATAAAAAGCCTGAAGCCCAAGACTGGGCCCGAGCCCGAAATCTAGCTCATGCTGTAGCTATTACTTAAGCAACTAAATTGAGAGAGAGAGAGAGAAAGAGAGAGAGAAATTATAAAGAAAAAATAAAAAAAAAAATGTATATATTAACTTATTAATATATATTCTAATAAATATTATATATTTTATATTGTATAAAATACATATTATATATTTTATAAAATATATATTGCTGAGTTGAGCCGGGCTGAGCTTTTTTGACAAATCCCAAGCCCGACCCGAAACACAGTCGGGCTTGCTATTTTGAGCCCGAGGTCAGGCCCGTGGGCCTAATTACATGTCCAAGCCCAACCAGAGTGCGGGCCAGGCCAAGTCATCAAGCTACCCGACCCATGAACAAGTCTACCTGTGAGTGGATGAGATTCCAAGCAAATCCAACTATGAAATTTCCATTATTTGTGCAGGTCCAAACTATCTTGTCATTTGCTTCCAAAACTACATCAGAGTTTATAGCAATTTCTTGGATGTTCTGACATTTAAAGAATCTGGAAATGACTAGGACCCATTCTCGATGATGACTTCGTAAAATTTAAAATCAATTAAATCCTCATGATTTTTTAAATCCAATAGGAGACCCTTATTAGTCCAACTGTGGTACCAGAAAGAAACATTTCCTTGGCCCATAATCCATTTTCTATTCATTGTAGTCTGATCACTAACTCCATAGATTTCTTTCCAAAATTTTGAGGAAGACACATGATTTGATATAAGGCCAGACGGTTTACCATTTAGGAATATTGAATAAAAAAACTTTGCCCAAATAGAATTATTTTGGATTAGCTTGAAGCATACTTTCACTCGAAACACTTTGATGATCTCAAACAATGACATGATCCCCAAGCCACCCTCCTCCACAGGTTTGCAAACTCAATAGTGACATAGGGCTTTGAAGGAGACCCTCAAGACATCAACTCCCTGTCTCCAATCTCCCTCTATCCTTTCCTTACAATGACGACCACTATTTGCAATGACGACGTAGTTTGGGGTTCCATTTTTCTATTGCAGCTCTGCCATTTGTAGAGGTTATTCAAGGATTACAGCGGTAGTGTTGAATCCCAACCTTCCACAGCGATTTTGATTTTGTTTGAGATGAAGGGAGAAAAGTTTCAATTTCTAGATTTGAATATTGACCTCCCACAGTTATTTTGATTTTGTTTGAAGAAGAAGGGAGAAATTTCAAGTTTCCATATTTGAATCTTGACCTCCTACACTGATTTTGATGTTGTGCTAGTTGTAATGGTTTAATCCTGTTGGGCAACATCCACCGAATTGGATATATAAGTTGCAATGGTGATTCAAACATTTTTGTTTAATTTTATGATAAATTTTATTATTTATAAATATTGTATAAGTTCATTATCATAGTTATGATGTCACAGATTGAAGTGTTCAACCCAAACGGTTTAACTGTTGACCTAGAAAGTAGTGGTAAGAACAATTCCGTTGTCGGATCAGTTTTTAAAACCTCACAAATTTGAACTTCAAAGTACCTTGGTCCCTCTTAAATTTTTTAATCAATGTACAATGATCCTCTATTATTTATTAGCTTATTTTTTGTTTTTAGCCTTAAACCATTTACTTTATCATCGATTGCCTTAAAAGTTTCTTCTTTCTTCAAAGCTTTTATGAATCTCGGTTTATGTAAATGTGCTATCACCGTACAATTTGAGGTGTTGTCAAAGGTTTTATGAATCTCAGGCCCATTTGGTTCGTGGGAATAGGGGTTTGGAATCGGAATTGGAATGGGTTATTCCGATCCCAATTGTTTGGTTGGATGGAGTCGGAATGTAAATGGCATTCCCCCATTTAAGGGAACGGCCATTCCCTACCCCTCCCTTGGAAATGAAATCTCATCCTTGCTGATTTCAATTCTCATTCTCATTCTTGTCTGAATCAAACAAACTATGGGAATGGACCATTCCGATTCCAACTGCGAACCAAATGGACCCTCAGTTGATGTTCAACACTTATCAAGATCATAAAGAAAATAGTTAAATAAAGAAATTTATTGGCATACAAAGAATCTAAAAAGAATGTTAGAAAACAAAATTATCAATTTATCTGATTGATCTAACAAATTAAAAGTTTCAATTTGTGTAATTCAAATTGATCAAAACGAATAAGGCCAAAATCGACCACAAGTTAGAAACCACCAAGTGGTAGCATGCTGGGGGTAAAGTTGTCAATTGATGAGTTGACTGACAAGCTACAAGATGAACTGATACCAACTCATAACATGCACAAGCAAGACATGGTTGAGCTTATTAGAACATCAATGCCAGCGCACTCCATGAAGACCCACTACCTACCACGTGCACACATGTCAATTGAGGGTGCGACAAGTAGGCTGAGCTCTAACCATGTGTGAGAGACGTGTCAGCTCTTAGATGAAGCCCCTCTCCTATAAATAGGTGAGTCCCCCATTCATTTGGACAACTGAATATGGTAGTACGCTACTATGAACAAGGCACGTCGGACACCTTGGCACATGGAGCTCTCAAGCTCCCCCTACAATCTCTTTACCTCATAACGTGGAGCTCACCAGCTCTCCCTACGAGCGCTCCAGCTCCCCCTACGAGCTCATCATGTGGAGCTCACCATCTCTCCCTATGAGTTCTCCAGATCATCACATGGAGCTCACCAGCTTTCCCTACGAGCTCTCCAGTCTCCTTACGAGCTCTTTAGCTCATCGTGTGAAACTCACCAAGCTCTCCAGCTCACTTTATTTTCCCTTGGCAATTATTGACTTAACCATCAGAGTTCACGCGCCTGGGATCGCCCAGGGCCTCTGACATCTCCTATGGTTGTAGGTCTCTCTTAGTAGCTGAGGTGACACTCTGAGACAAGGTGTCACCCTACTCTAACAACTTTCCATCCTTGCCCTTGTGGTCAATTTTGATCCTCATAAAAAACTAATGTCAACTCACAAATATGTTAGAATTGGTTTTTACCTTTTGTTGGTTGGCTTCAAAATCAACCCAAAAATTCTGATTTGGTTGACAGTACTAATTGAAATCGAACTAGTCAGACTCGTAAACAACCCCAGGTACCACAAATCCTTTCTCTAAACTATGGAAAAATTGGGTTTCAAATTTAGCTAAAAAAATTAAAATGGTTTTGATTGAGATGTTACGATAGTGCATTAGCTCGGGCTATATGGTATAGTAATTTTGGAGGTAGATTTATTAATCTCCATGCAAATTGGAATTTCATCGATTGGATGTTAAATGTTAATGATAATTTATTTTGGCTATGTTTCAAAATAAGTGCTTATTTTGGCCATTAAGAACTTATTGGTATTTGGGAAGTAAGCTCGAAATAAGTGTTTATTTTAAAAATAATGACTTATTTTTTAAGCCGAAATTTCCAGCTTTTTTAAGTGCTTATACAATAAGCACTTATTCAATTTTTTCTTTCAAAATTATTCCTAGTTGAATTTTAAAATACCACTTATAAAATTATCCATAGTTGAATTTTATAAAAGCACCTTTACGAAAGCACTTTTATGAAAGCACTTTTATAAAAGCACTTTTAAGAAAGTACTTTTATGAAAGCATTTTTACAAAAGCATTTTTACAAAAGTACTTTTATAAAAGCACTTTTATAAAGGTACTTAAAAGTGTTTTCATAAAGAGCTTTTATAAAAGTACTTTCATAAAAGTATTTTTATAAAAATAATTTATTAAAAGTGCTTTCAAAAGATATATTTTGAAAGAAAATGAAGAACAAAATAGTCATAAAATGCTTATTAGAGAAAAAGACTACCAAACGTCCAATATAAAATAAGTGCTTATTTTAAAAAATAAGCACTTGAAAAAGTTGGGTGCCAAATGCAAATAAGTGCTTATTCGAATAAGCACTTATTTTTAACTTAACCACTCCCAAAGATGGCCTCAGTGTACATCAAAGACCCAAAAGTTGGTTTCATGTGCTTTATAATAACTTTATAACAGTGTGATATATTTGGTTTGTTAGAAATGATGTGTTTTTAAGACCTTGTTTGTTTTTTATGAACTTATTTTACCAAGTAAGTGCACTTACCCCTTAGGAAACATTTATTTTGATAATTGCACTTGGGTAAGTACAATTACCCATATTCTTTTTTGTTTAATATTTTTGGGTAAATGTGTCTTGTACGTGGAGATATTTTTTTACCATTTTATTTTATTTTTTATTTACTTTCTACTTAGGAAACTCAACTTATCCAAGTTTGAGAAGGTGATATCTAGGAAAATCAATTTTGCCCTACGTTCCACATGTTTTTAAAATAAAAACATGGGTAAATTGATCAATAAGAAACACAATCTCATTGACTAACTTTTTCCCTTCAAAATCCTAAGAAAAAAGTGTGGCCTAAATGAAACTATCCCAAATTTGAGAACTGTTTTCTCTTCTATTGACAGGTAAATTCGAGTTGAAATCAACCCCCCACAAGATAATTTCCCACAACGTCCGATAGCACATCCCCACTGTGTATTGGGAACATCTCTCGATAATGCTTCATCATTTCTGGCACTATCATTGAAAGATGTTCCCAATACACGGTAGGGATATGATGTGGGATATTGTGGGAAACTATCTTGTGGGGGGCTGATTTGAAGTCGGTAAATTCAGCTTCATTTGATAGCTTCATAGCAAAAGTCAATCATTTTGAGGAAAGACGGTTTAGCAGCTTTAAAGCGGAAAACATCTACAACCAATGATGTAGAAAAGCTATGGAGGGCCCAAATGCTGGTTGGTACATGGTTAGAGGGGGTTTTCGGTTTGTGGGATGCTCATCTTTTGGTGCCATTGCTAGAGATGTTGATGTCATTTTATTGCTGCTAATAGGAACTTGGCAATCTCGGTAGGAGTGATGCAATTGGCTAAATCAAGAGGGCTCAATAAGATTATCATTGAATAGAAGTAAGGACCGTTCTCAGTTAATTAATGGGTTCTCTAAGAACTTGAATGATTGTCCGAAGGACTACTATTTTTTATGTGTTTGGTTCAGTTGGCGTTTATTGAGTAAACAATTTGTACTTTATGTGACTGTAAAACTGAGAAAAACAATTAATGAGGGCGTTTATGACATAGAGATGCCATTAGGCACCACATCAGTAAAAGTGCCAATAAACATCTATCCGTTGGGGGAAGTTCCAAAATGAAGATTCCTGAAACGGGAGAGGCGCACAGAAATCGATGTTTACTTCAATACGTACAGATGTGCATAATGAGACCTTTGCTGATGGGGCACCTACGTGGCAACACTTACTCAATAAACACCAATGGAAGCAAACACATCCTTTATTATAAATGATATCTTTTGTAGTTGTAATGCTCTGTATGAACTTCTCTTCTATTAGTCGCTTAGGAAATGAGGTTGCTCATGCTTTAGCTTATCATGTTTTTATTCAAACTAGGGGAAGAACCCTGCTTTGCAGAAGCTGGAATGGAACTGTCCATTGACCCATTGACCCGGTCTCTGGTCAAAAACCGTTGAATCGGTCAACAACTCATTGACTCGAGTGGTTGAACAGTCGACCCGTTCAATGGTTTTTGGCCATTTTTTTTTAAATTTCTTTTCATTGGGAACCATCCAAGCAACCGCTTCCGTTTTATCCTAATCTTGGTCCCTAGCCAAAAATCGTTGAATCGGTGAACGACCCATTGACTCAGGTGATCGAACCGTTGACTAGTTTTTGGTCATTTTTTTATTTTTTTTAATTTTTGTTGTCAGAAAAGGCCATCCGTTTGAGCCGAACAGTTGAACTGTCGACCCAAAAACCGGTGGCTATAATGGTTCCATTTTCAGGTCATATGAGTCAGAGTCACATGCTCGAATAACATAACACGTATGGTACTGCTTAATGGACCTCAGACACGATGTATCGGGTCGTCCATTTTTTTTAATTAGGTACCGCCTAGGCAACCAGTTCCATTTTACCCCAATCCCAATCCCTGGCAAAAAACCGTTGAATCAGTCAATGACCCATTGACCCGAGTCGTCGAACCATTAACCCGTTGACCCGTTCAATGGTTTTTGGCCTTTTTTAAATTTTTAATTTTTGTTGTCAAAATGGGTTGTCCGTTCGAACCTAAAAGTCAAACTGTCAACCTAAAAACCGATGGCCAGAACGGTTCCATTTTCGGGTTGTATGAGTCACACGCTTGAATGACATAACACGTATGATACTGCTTAATGGACCTCACACACTCAATTTTTTGCTTGTAATTTTTGTTGTCAGAATGGGTCGTTTGTTCGAACTGGACGATCGAACTGTCGACCCGAAAATTGGTGACCAAAATGGTTCCATAATTTTTTGCTTGTAATGTTTTATTATCAGAACGGGCTGTCCATTCGATTCATCGACCCAAAAACCAGTGGCCAGAACAATTCTATTTTCGGGTCGTATGAGTCACACGCTCGAATGACATAACACGTATGATAATACTATTTAATGGACCTTACAAACTCAATTTTTGCCTATAATTTTTGTTGTCAGAATGGATCGTCCATTCGAACCGGATGATCGAATTGTCAACCCGAAAATCGGTGGCCAGAATGGTTTCATAATTTTTTGCTTTAATTTTTCTTGTCAGAACGGGCCATCTGTTCGAACTGGATGGTCGAACCGTTGGTTGCTAGAACGTTATTAACCATTTATGAATAATGGTAAGTAATTATACTATTTAATTAAATAATCATTCATGATAGATTTAATAATATTATTTAGTTATTTTTAATATAACAGTAAATATTAAATTTATAAATAGGATTTATTAACAATATTCATTAAATTAATAATTACCAAAATTAAATTAAATTAACAATATTTATCAATAATAGTAATTATAATATTTTATTAAATAATCAATAACAATACTTTTAATAACATTTTTAATTATTTTTAATATAACAATAATTACTAAATTTATTAGCAATATCTATTAATAGCAATATTTATAATTTTAATTTAAAGTAAAATTAAAGTAAATATCTATTTATTAACAATATTTATAATTACAATAATTATTAATTATAATCACTAATTATATATTTATTAAATTACTATAATAATCATTAATTATTAAATTACAGTAATTAATTACTGGGTGCTCTCACGTGGGAATCTACTCCATTTGCTACACGGAGAGAGCACCCTTATCCTTATATATATAGATAGATAGATAGATAGATAGATAGATAGATAGATAGATAGATATAGAGAGAGAGAGAGAGAGAGGGAGAGTGAGAGAGATGAGTGCTGGTGGAATTCTCCATCAGATTTGGTTATTGAACCATTTAAGTGTTGATAATGATGATCCTTTGTTAGATTGCTGTAGCAGTAGTTACTAGTTTATTCAGTTTTAGGTTGAAGGTCATGTTTTATAGGTGGTCTGTTTGTGTCAAGAATTCTAGTGTATGATATTTCTTTTTTCCTTTGAATGAATTGCTTTATCACCAGAAAAGAAATAATGAAAAATAACTGGTTTCATTTTGGTATGGGAAACCATTTGGGGTGCAAATGGTCAGGATCATGGCCCAAAATTCGAATCCTTTCTTATATATTTTGTCAGATTCAGATATCACCTGTTGAATTTTTAGATTGAATCAGATAATAGGACCTGATTAAAAATCGGGTTGAATTCAGATCACCCCTATCCGATCCAAATGAATCAGATATGTATTATTTATTTATTTATAATTATATTGATATTTTTTATAAAAAATACCTGTATATATGATGAAAATAATTGAAAAAATGTTTGAATTGTTTTATTTTTCTTTGTATAAACTGTTATGTTTTTTCATTTAATAATTTGTTAAATTTTATAGAAATTAAATCGGATACCAAACATTCTCAACGGATTCAGATTCAAATTGGCTTTGGTGAGATCCGATAAATGTTCAAATTAAACTAGATTTAAATATAACCTGATTGGAATCTGATCCGAACCATTTACATCCTTAAAATCACAAATTCAAATTTAATTTACATGAACTAGAAAGAAAGAGACCAGGGTCAATGAACCCATCATCATTGATGACTAGATGACAAAATGTCTTTTGGTGGTCCTCTCTTTTGCTGCCATCTATCGTATTGTTCAATGATCCCCTTTTTCACTCCCATAGACCAAATTCATGAATGAAGTGCTGAAAGCCTGAATTGTAGGTTTCCACAATGTTCTCCTTCAAATACCAGTTGAACACTTGAGCCCAACTAGCCCTATCTTCACGATTGATGAATGATGACAAACGAAAAAAAAAAAAGCAAAGGGAGGTCCCACGTTGTTAAGTAAATATATGTGGTTGCCATTTCTCCTAAACAATTTCATATATCCGTTCGTTGAGCTTCCTACCTTTGGGTTGATTCATTCCTCCTACTAGTCAGCAGTGGAATGAACCCATAGCATCCCAAGCTCCACTTACTGTTAAGAAGGTTCAGCAGGGAAAATTGTTCTTTACATACAACCAAGAGCCATGAAACCTCCTCGAGTACTGGTCACGAGTTCGAGCAGATTGGTCTTTACCAGAAACTGGAGGCCTGTTCCATGCGGGAGAAGGGATTTTGGTTTCCGGCCACCGGGAGTCACATTTCCGATCTCCATGACTGCAGGCTCCAAAGCTAATGCTCCCTCCACTCGACCTCGTATTCCAATAATTGCACCAGATGTTGGGTCGGATGTGTATCAGGAAACAGCGATGAAGTCGGAAGCAGCTTTGGAAGAGAGCCTAGAGAAGGTGAGAATTCTCTGCAGAAACACTAGCCATTTTGAGTGTATATTTGAGAGATCATTTGACAGAATTCCTAGTTTCTTTGTATGTCTGTTTTGCAGGCAATTTATCGGTGCCGTTTCTTAGCATTTTTCGGAGTGTGTGGCTCTTTGGTGGGATCTTTTCTGTGTTTTATAAAGGTAAGTAGGGTCTCAAATCTGACCACTTGATTTTTTTTTCTCTATTGGGGGATGGAGCGAGCTAACCAAGGTGTCACTTTGGCTATGTTTGGTTTCACACAACTTTAGGGGTGGTAGGGAACAAGTTGGGCAGCCTCAGCCAGGTTAAGGAGTTGATCCAAGCCCAGTTCTAAAGTGTTATTAGAGGTTGTTTGGGGCCTCAATTTAAGCGCAAATCCATGTTTGATGCCAATTTTCAACCCAAGCCCAAACCAAAGATTATGAGTTTCCTAAAATTTAGTCCCAACTCCCAACCTAACCTGAATAGAGGGTTAGGTTAGCCACCATTGAGCTAGGTCGGCATAAAAGTCATAACTCATAAATGGGGGTGGGCTTGGCGTCTGATCTTCTATTAAGGATGAATTATAAGCCTGCATATGGGTCAGTTTAGGGGTGGCGAACAGATGGGTTGGGTTGGGCTGGGTGTAGGTTGAAGGCCAACCCACCCACGTACATTTGTAAATTGTAACCCACATTTCTAACATGTACATGGGTTGCAACCCATCCTAACCCTCTCCTAGATCTTTTATGGGTTTTGAGAAGGGTTCAAGTCTTCATTGTCATAATGTCATTGTCCTGTTCCATGATGGGCCAGGCCGGGCTTGGGCTAGACATTTCACATTTACATCCCAGGATGGACTTGGGTAATAGTAGACTGCTCAAGCCTGGTTTATGTCCATCCCCTATCACAAGCCAGAATGGAAAAAGAGGAATCAAATTAAACCAAATAATACACTTTTTGAATCTTCTGAAAAGTGTTAGATATGCTGATAAGTAATGGAAATAAGCCCATGGCTATTAATACAATATCTAACCCAATTTGGAATAAATGATAAATGATCCTAATATATGTGTTTCTTGCAAACACGGAAAATAGGTTTAATTGCAGTTTTTGAAATTTACAGTTTGAGACATAATATACTAGATGGCCTCCATAGGAAGTCCCCATTATCTAGAAGGAAAAATTAAAGCCAAACTAGTTTGGTAGTTCTGTAGGCAAGAGATTGTTAATCATTTTTCCTTTCAAAGCCAAAATGGGTTAACAGCTTTCTGCTTCATGAGAAAAGAATTCAGAGCCATTAATGAGCCGTGAGTATTAGAAAACCAGCTTAGCCTTTGTTTGAGCAGGCATGTGTGTCCCAAGGAGTGAGGTGTTTATGTAATGAAGAAGTTTCACTTGGTTGGCATTAAATAAACCGTTAGAAGGGTATAACTTTATTCAATATACTATATTAACAACCAAGGCTTTGATACTATGATGGGCCACGGATCAGTGGATTTGGACCAAAGTTTAGAAAAGGTCTTTACCAAATGTCGCTCCCTCCTATCTGGGGTCTTAGGAAGGGTAGACTGGATATAGATCTAACATTTGACATTGTTTTGCACAGAGTGGCTAGCATTTTCAGGCATGTTTTAGACTTAGGTTTTATCATTATACCAAGCAATGGGTCAATGGCCTCTGATTTTGGTATTGGATGTTCCTAAATATTGGAAGGAAACAGAAGTAGGAAAAGTTAGAGACAAATAGGAATAACTTTAGTGGACTTCAGGGGGAAAAGAGTTGCAACTCTTTATTGGATTCAACAAAAACAGTAGTTAAACTTTGTAGCAATTCTGGTCTAAAATCTGATTTTGATTTCTGTCCTTGGTAAAATCCTAATTCAGAACTGGAATTTCAAAACCTGGTTCATAATGCCAATGTTGGTTATAATTAATTGACAGGTAATAACAAGAAAGGAAATGAGATAATGAACTCCCCTATGAAGATCATCACAGATTAAAATATCTTCATCTATATTTTGAGCAACTATTGATCAATTTTGATATGGCCGAAAGAAAGAAAAAAATAGAAGATTGAACATTTTAACCAAACAGAATTTCTTGAATATTTCACTGCATCATGACAGCAATATATCTTCACCAGTAGACAAAAGGACGGCATGCAATTTTTGTAAAGATAATCATTCAAAAACCTATGTTTAACTTCTAGTTGATTGCTTGTACAATAATGGAAGGCAATGGCAATAGTGACAAGAACAATTATTTACTAATGATCTTTTCTATTAGACTAGTTTGTTGATCCAGACCTCACTTTTGACTTGATCCTTTGATCAAACGTTGATGATCAGCTTTGGTGTAACGGAATCCAAGAACAAAATGGAAGGTCTTGCACATTGAAACCAAGCAGGAAGGATTTCTTGAATAATTTATTGCCTAATGTAACTATGATAAATCATTAAAAATTGACAGAAGGGCTGAGAAATGTCGCATTATTTGATGATCTTGGAATGGATGTGTGTCTTTTGATAAGATAATAATTTAAAAATGTGTTTTTGATGTATAGTCTAGTTGGGAAACAACAGAAACAGAAGCAACACTAATCCTTTAATAATTTTCACCAAAAGACTGACATGATATTTTTACTATATCCTTTCGCAACCTTTTAGATCTTTAATCAATATAACCATCAACTTAGTACATTCTTTTCTATTAGTCAATAGTGTTAAACCATTTGTTGGAAGGGTTTAGAATCCATCATATGGATGGTCGAACCATACTACATGGCTGAATGAATTTTCAAATTTTTTAACCTTTGTAGGAATCAATTTCCCAGTGAATTTGGAAATTGAATTTTCCAGATCGATCTTGCACTGAACCGGACCAGATTTAAAACCAAATCAAAAGGGAAAATTATACCTGATATGGATACCACAAGCACATATCCCAATGTGGAAGTTCACGTCCAAATCGGTCCTAGAACTAGCCTCTATTGAAGATGGTGCAATGTATAGGTGAGGCCAATTTAACAACACTATTTTCTCCAAAACTGCTATCCAACTTGCTTGAATCGAATGGGATGAGTGAGCCTGATCTTCCCCAACCTTTTTCTTGCAAAACTAGAAGAAAGGCTGATCAAAATCAGTTCTTGAAAGCTTAGGTCGAATTAGGGTTTCTTAGGAAACAAGGAGAATAGGAGAGAACAAGAGAGAGAGAGGTGTTCTTGTTTGGCTCACCCTCTTCTTCTTTTATATCCTTATAGAGCACTCTCCTAATCAAATTAGGAGATTATCCATATTTGATTTGGATCTGAGCTCTATTAAGAGATAGGCAGTATCCTCTTAAGAGGATAAGTGCTCAATACCTGTTACTAAACCTAGATTCGACCTAGAGCACATAACAACTTATGTGACAACTAACTTAATCTTATTAACTATGAGCATTAGGCCCATCTACTTCAAAGGCTCACGACCCAAGGTGTTGCATGGCCATTTTAGGCTTGATATTGTATGGCGTGGGACCTCACAATGATCTCACATAAGCCCATATGGGTTCAACCCAACCTCTGAAAGTGGTTAGGCCGAATTCACTGCTCATGGCAGTGAATCCCTGACCCAATCAATATTGGTCTAGTTTGGGACCAACATTTACACCTAAATGATCATTGGATTCAGCCACCCTATGAAGACCCAAGGATAATGGACTCATGTAAGACAAGGCCCACCAGGTAATTAGCACTGTAATGATCTCTTACACTTAACCTCTCAGCCCATAATGATCAAAACACTACCTGACAGGGAAGGACTTCTCCCCTGACTGCAAGGTGCAGTGCCACACTCTTTACTCGGATGGATCTCGGGATTAAAACCTTTTGCAAACTTTTTCCCTAAAATAGTAATATATATATATATATATATATATAACATATAAATACTTTTGCAAAGCTAGATTTCAAATACAGGTGAAATCCATTGTTGGCAATTTAGGTTTCCATCTGAGAGAGTGTAAACCCTAATATTCACTTTGTTCGATAACGGGGCCGATCCTATCACTATGATCACCCACTTAGGTGAATTCTTAGACTATCCCAACATACCAAGGTACTTGACCCTTTATGAATCTCACTAGTTGGCATATCAAAGACAACCCAGTCCAACCCCTAATACAGTTCCATAATCAAGTCTGGGGTTATGTGTAACTTTCCAGTTTTACCCATCTATCTCCAAGTTTCAGGGCCTAATTGGAAATTGGTCTGGGTTTAGTGCTTTTAATAAACACCTACTGGCAGTGCTTGGGGTCTAACCCTAGCAGCTGAGACAAGATGCTCCAACTCCTTGGAAACACACCAGTGTTAGCCTTGTTAGGATAAAATCCCCAAGTCTATCTAATGGCTGAGAACATTCTAAGCTAGCACAAGTCTCTTAAGTGTCCAGTTTAAGGGGTAATGCACAGAAACATACCAATATTAACATGAAACAACAATGTGCTTTATTCATTAACAAATAAATGTTCATGTACATTAAGTTGATTGGAGCTAAGGGCATTCACTGTCTAACACCATTGTCAGAGATGGAATTAGAAACCTCTTCTCAAATAATATGATTAAAATTTCACTCAACCCATGAATCATAACAGAAAGAAATAAACAAAGAAAGAAACTACAAAGAGAAAGAAGAATATGAAAAAAAGCACCCAACAACTTTACAAATAATATTAGAAGATTAAAGGTGGAATGTAGAATAGAGGATGCCTCTTATATACCATAAGTGAAAGACCTCTTAGATTAGGTGGTGGAGTTGTACTAAAAGGTTGAACTATCAAAGACAGAAGAAGATCATGAATAAGCAATATATAAAGATACAACAAAAGAGATTCCTTGTAATCCCGTGTTGCAACAAGACAGGGATTCGGTATACATTTTGTCATAAAGAAAGTCTGTGGTGGCTTATTAACATTTATACACAATATAGACAATGTGAACTGGTGAAATTCCATAAATGGTAACAGTGATGGTGGAATGTAGATTAGAGGTGATTTTTGTATGCCACAAGTGAAAGACCTATAAGATTGGATGATGGAGTTGTATTAAGATATATTTAACTATCATGGACAAGAGAGGTAATGAATGGGAATACACAAAGGCATGACATAAGACATCCATTTTATTGATGAAAAGAATAGAAGACATGACAAATGTGAATAGCTACTAAGACTCAACTAGGAGCAAGGTCAAGAACAATTTGAGCCATAGGAATAGTTACCTAGGTGGGAGAGTGGATGAAACACACAATACTAGATGAGACTAGCCTGTGAATGAAAGAAAAAACTGTCCTATACTATGTGAAGAGAAATTTTGTCCTGTATTTTGGTGCAGTTGCAGATAATATTAATAGTTGCCATTATATTCCATGAAACATGACTTAATATGTTTCATATTCAGTCTCAATCTATAGATATGGTTTTGGACATGGAAGCACATTCAAAGTGGAAAAGATTCACTACTCCATACTACAGAGAAAGAATGCTTTGTCAAGGTATCAACTGGTTATTATTGATGAGAATATGATAATTAAATTGGGAATATTGCTGACCAAAATTCTTAAATGAGCCACATTTTGGAAAACCGTAATGGAAAATCATAGTATTGCTTGATTCTATTGCAAGGTGATGCTTGCATTTTGTTATTGTCAACCTGAATTTGTTCTAGGATTTTTCAGAAGATGGTCTTCATAGCAAACCAGAAGAAAAGAACACTTATAAATGAACCATAAAACCTACCATAATCATCATACTGAAAATAATTAATACAACAGTAAAAAAATACTTTAACCTAACTGATGGTGGCAAAGTTGGTGGGATCTCCGGCTGTTTGTAGCGGATACTCAAGGATCAAATCCCACTACCATCAGGGTTGGGAGGGGGGTCCTAGAGGAACTACAATGGTCTTTGCAGTGTATCCTTCACTTGTACTTGGTACCTACGGCAAAGAACTAGAATGTGGGATACTCTGTAAATTGAGGAGAGTAGAGATTATAATCTGAAGACCCACCAAAGTAGTCCTAAAATCAAACAGTTTGTATGTTACTTGCCAGTCTTAGCCATTTGGGATCCAAAATAATCTTCCTGTCCTGTTCTGAACAAATGATGATTATTCAAATCCATAAATGAAATAATAGGTGAAGAATTGCATACATCTGGAGGTAACGAATGAAGAGAAAAGAACAATCAATATTGAAGATCTCAAGACAGAAAAGTTATTTGTCCAAACAAGGGGCTGTAAGACAGAAAATGTTTTGGGCAAATCTGTAATCTTTTGTTGTTTTGGGGTGGAATTTACATCCAATCTATTATAACTCTTTTACAACAATAAAATTATTTTCCTGCTGATAAAAAAAGTTATTTGCCCTTCTACTTAAGGGCTGTTGTAATGGCCGAAGTGGATGAACTGAATGACTCATTGCTTTGTTTTTTATTGGATTAGTCATTAATTAGATTATAAGTTACTTAAGGGTTGAATGGAATGTTGTGTTACTGTAACCATAAATGTTTTATTACATGGATATTTTATCCACTAAAACCATTTAGTTCAGCCACTTCAGCCATTATCACATGCCCCCAACCTTTAATCTAACTCAGACTTCGATTCTTTCTGTAATGTTGTCTATGCATTTCTTCATTACTATGATTTATACTTACTGTTGACTTTAATTGCAGGGCTGCACATATGTTGTGGCTTCATTTATGGAATACTTTGTGAGCCATACAATAGTGATCTCATTGTTGATTGAAGCCATTGGTGAGTATAATGTTGCATGTCCTTTATCTAAATCTTGTATATAATGTTGCACATATGTGTGCATATTTTATTTTTTGTTTCTTTATGATATGTTATCCTAGAATGTTTTCATGCTTATTAATATAAAAAATGAGTACCGACTCTAAGGATTCTTTAAATAACCAGAGATGAGTAACTTTTCTATTGATACCAACCGACCATCAGTAGAAAAGTAAAAAATATGTTTAGTTTGACATCTATACAACAACTTTGATAACTAAGCTTGAGTAAGTTATTCTAAGTAAATGAATCCACTTATAGTTGAACAAGGTTAAACCAGTCACACATGGTCGCTGATGTTTTTAATTATTATTTAAGATGAAAATATGAAAAGTTCCAACAACATCCAGGTACTTATAATAGGGCTCCAAGTAATTGTTTGTTGTTGGTGTTAAATGAAAGGAAAGACTTAAGTATGCAGTAAGAATATGGAAGCAGTAACAATAGTGAAAATAAACATCAAAAACAAAAAGGGGGGGGGGAGGTGAGAATCACCAAAATTTATGTCCGGAAAGCCCTTCAATATGAATTACAAAAGCTAATAGATAAACTCTGAACCATTTAGTACAACAATAGACCATCATAGTCATCAAAAAGTGAGACTCTTGAATAGCAATCTTACCTTGCCTATGGTACAGAGTCTACAGACCATTTTCTAGACTTAGATTGTTAGAAAGGGAAATGGGAAATCTATCTTCTTTGTCACTTCTTTTCTCCTCCATTCCATATTCCATTGTAAAGAAAATATAAAGATCAAGATGATTGTGAAAGGGGGAACCATCTTATGAGGAGGAAACCCATAAGTTCTCTATCCCAGCTGATAATGGGGTCTCCACCTTGATAGGAAAACATTTAAGCCTGTCATGATTCAAAGTTCCTTTTTTAGAATTTTGTTTCATTCATCATGTTGAAGGGTCTTCCAAGTATATGGTATGCCTCTTTTTCAGCATCTTTAATTTTCTTGTTTATCTCATTCAATTCTACATTAGTTCTTATGTATACTTTCTCTTTTCTTGATTCCCTGTTAGACTTATGCAAAGGAGAGAGGGGGAGGGAGGGAGAGAGAGAGCTTGCTTCCAAGAATTGCTTAGCTAGAAATCTGGTTTGTCAAACCTTGTAGAGGAACTTAACATGCTGTAATTAACGAATGTGGTTAAAGCAAATCTAGCCTTCTTTTTTCTTACCTTTTCTATGTCTTTATTATTTTGGCAAGTCAAAATCTTAAGCATCATATAAATTAAAAGAACATATCTTATCTACCACTACCAATAGGCAATGGTACAATGTGCAACACATGAGATCCTATTGTACATAAGCATGCTCACACATTTTACATGTAGAAGGAAGTTAATGAACATTTAAGCTTCTCTTATTAGGCCTTTTTCTTTTGTCAGAACATAATTCATTAGAAAGATGGCATTTCTAATGCATAATTGGAATTATGAATACATAATTGGAATTATGAATACACACATGAAGCATCGCATTATTACTATTCCCAAAATCATGAAGGCTTGCCCCTAACCACAATTTTATTATTCTTTTAGACATTTATTTGGTGGGAACAGTGATGCTAGTCTTTGGAATGGGTCTTTATGAGCTATTCATCAGCAACCTTGACATTGCAAAGTCATTTTCTTCAAAGGAAACAGCATACCGATCAAATCTCTTTGGCCTGTTCGCTCTTAAGGTAAGTTGGCTCACACTTTTAATTCAAATTGGCATTGTCAAGCCATATTATAAAATAATATGAAAGTGTCTTCTCACTTTTCATCCCCATGAACTTCTTTATTTCCAATAACCAATAAACAAATCAAGAAAAGTAAGAAAAGGAAAAGAAAGAATAAATAATAATAAGAAGAAGAAATGATACTTATATTCATAGCACAGAAATGGAAATAACCCCTGTTCCTAGTGTTCTTGCTTTTGTAATCAGAAAAATCATTTGATCTATGATTCATTGGAACAAAACAAGAAATGGGACGGCTAGGGGCCAGGGGTGTAAAAAGAGTAGTATTTACATTCGGAAAAACCCATGAGAGATTTCAGATGATGATCATAGAAGAGACAATTTACCAAAATATATATGATTTCAGGCCTTATGGTCTCTTAACTGGCTTACATTAATTATTGAATAGTCATTTCCCTTGTGTAAGGAAAGTAACAATTATTAGTCATTTGATATTATAAAATGCTATCTCATATGCATTACAAGTTGAAGTTATTCTCCTTGTTTAATACTAACCAAGTTCTTTGCTTTGTAGGAACGACCCAAGTGGCTTGAAATAAAATCAGTAAATGAGCTAAAGACGAAGCTTGGCCATGTAATAGTAATGGTTCTTCTAGTTGGGTTGTTTGAGAAGAGCAAGAAGGTAGTGATAAGCTCTTCTCTGGATTTGCTTTGCTTCTCTACCTCTATTCTCTTATCATCAAGTTGCCTTTATCTCTTGTCAAGGCTCAACAGCTCAAAGCAAAAATAAATATACATCTTTCAGCTAAAGGTTGTGTAAAAATTGACATTTTAGCTAAGGAATATCAAAGTGTGTAAATAGATAAATTAAATAAACTATAAACGTGTACCAGCTATATTCAGTTGTGCCTTCACCTTCTACTACTTGACAGTAGTGAGGTTTCGGTTCAGTTAAAGAGATGCTCAACTTAAGGCTGTGTTTGAAAGAGGTGCTCACCTTCCTTTCCCTACTTTTTCTTTCACACCAAACACGGCCTAAGGGGGGCCCTTTTTTAAGGCTGTACTGGAATTGGCTGAAAACTCCACAGCCCAACTTGCATTGGAAGGAATACTCTGATAAAAGGCTCCATCCTACGCCCAGGACCTCCATTCATGTTGCAAGAAATCCATATTTTCCACATTAAAAGGAAATGATGAGATCGGTGGAGTTTCATGTCTTATTTCCATAAGACTGACAAAATTGAAAACCTGCCATATATAGTTGAAAAAATACATAGAAACCTAAAACAAAGCATGGGAACGTAAGGTTATTCCTTTACTTTCTCCTCACAGCTGACAATAATTCAGGTTTGCTTTGAGTGCAAAAGTATGGGAATGCAAATGATTTTTTATTTTATTTTACTTTTCTTTTGTTTGTACGCCATGTGATGAAGTGAAGTAAAGCTAAAGCAAAACATTTGTACTAGTGCAAATGAATTGCAATGCAAACAAAGAGGGCTTAAAAAAAAAGAAGAAAAAAAATTCTTAAATGTGGCTTGAAAAGAGAATGAACACCAAAGGATGCCTATGCAAAATGGATGCAAAAATTAATCCAACCAGCAGGGTCAGAACACACTAGAGAGCCATTCCCAGACAAGTGACAGATTGTTTAAAGACCACGGAATTAGCAGCCATATTGGGGATATTCACGTTTCATAGACTCTGTGGTAAGGAGAGGATGGTAGCTAGCTAGCTAGCTACAAATGAACTAAGATTCCAAAGTTAACTAGTTAAGTGGTGGAAACGTGCATCTACTTAATTAGCAGTCATTTGAAGGGATGGTTGAGCTTTGGGTTGGTCCTCTATGGATTGTTGGACTAGGAAAGGTTTTCCTTGTTCCCTTCGCAGTCCCTCTTGGAGACTGATACTATAAATCTTTGAATTGGAATAAAGCTATAAAGGCATTGTCATGCTTACTATGCAATGTACTCTTATACATGACAAAGAAGGTTCTGATGTCCTTTATTTTAAACCAACTTGGAGGATTTGATGACCACTTGAAAGGATTAGAGAGAGAGAGAGAGAGTACATGGTCTTGATTGGCCCTATGTTCATTTGTCTGTGGGAAATAAAGATGAGAAGCCACTTGAAGGCATAATCTAGCCACTTGGAGGCATACTTAGCTTGGCCAGAAAAGAGACCTGACTGATTGGCCATATCCCATATGATCACTTTCCTGGTCTGTGGGAGAAATAGAGCCAATTGTAACTCATTGAGGAAAAAAAATCAAAGCATTTAATACAATACTGGTTACGTGTCCATTAATGGGGTGTTTTGAAGGATGCTTATTGTATCCAAAATTCCAGGAGCCAAAAATTTTCCCATCTGAATAGGCCACTTGGTGGGATGATTCAATATTAAAATAACACTAGCCACTTCAACAGCTACTTATGTAGCCTGAGCCTGGACAGAAAGAAAAGGTTCCTCTAGATTGGTTTCTTGTTCACTTTTCTTGTTGATGCTTCTATTGAATTTTTTTAAGTGATGTTAGCCATTGAAACTTCAGAGCTCTCTCTCTCCACCCTTTTGCCCAGTTCATTATCCAGCATGACATGCGAGTACACGAGCTCCTTTCAGGCATTTTACTAAACTGCAGAACTCCCTCTTGGCCCACTACCTAAGCTGCCACCTCAAAAGGTCACTGGATCCTCTGGAGGGATGGGATTGTGATGCTGATGCGCAAGCTTGTGCAGCAAACCCGCCTTGTCCAGTGCTAGCACTTAGCCACCTTTTTATTATGGTGGGTATCCAATGTTACTAGAAAGTAGAGTCTGGATTGCAGTTGCACCTTCTACTGGAAGATAATTTATGTCTATCTGGTTAGAGGCTTTTGGAAAAGGCAAATTAATCCTTTTTTTATTTGATCATTTAATTTACACGAGTCCAGCAACCAAGAAGTTTGCTTCCAGTTTGGCCCCATCCAACCATCACTTCTCTTTGTATGAAAGCCTGCTCCTCCTATAAAACAATTGGGATCAAATTTCTGTTTGATTAACCTTCTGTAAGTTTGTTCTCAGAATAAACTAGGAGGGAATAATAATATTCTCTTTTGTCAAGTCATCCAGAGTCACTTTCTCTAACCTCTAATTGTAATATTAAAGGCAAAGAAATATGATTTACCAGTTTTTTTTTTAATTATTTTGGTAGGGTTTGGATCAGTTGCAGTTGCACCTTTCTGTTGGAACCTACTTAATTTATGTTGATCTGATTAGAGGTTTTTGGGCCAACCGCTCAATCAACAGAAGGCTTTGGAAATATATGATAAATTGATAATCATTAATTAATTAACAATTCATCAAAAGTCAAATTAATCTTTCTTTTTTTTTTATCTGGTCATTTAACTTAATGGTGTCCAGCAATCAAGAAGTCCACTCTCAGTACAGCCCCATTCAACAGTCACTTCTCTCTGTATGAAAGGGTTGCTCCTATAAAACAATTGGGATCTTTTCTGTTTGACTAGCCTTTCTCTGTAAATTTTATTCTCAGAATAAACTATGAGGGAACAATGATATTTCCTCAGATCCACTTTCTCTCTGACCTGTTATAAAATTTTTGGTTAGAGGCAAAGAAATACGGTTTTTGCCTTTTTGGAGAAAATGCACGCCCATTCTTGCACATGCATGCTTATCTGCTATCTCCTACAGCAGGTGAGTGCCAATGTTCAGAATTGGAGAGGATAAAAAAAATCTTGAAGTACACTAAATCACAGTTTTACCAATTAATTATATTATTGGCCGACCGATTGATTAAACCTTTCAACCCGTATAGGCTTTATTTGTTTGCACTGTAAATCTAAACTACATGCAAATTTTGCACCTGGTTCAATTTTGTATTTATTTGTTTTTAACTATGATTTGCATTCCTATCACCTGATAAAAATTTTGTACTTCAGGCTCAGTTTGGTAGGAGTACAAATACAAATATATATTGTGCAAATACATACAAAATAATACAAAATACAAGGTTTTGCACTCTACAAATTTGTACTTGTACTACTTCCAAACTGAGCTTCACGTCTCATTTGCATTCACTGGCAGTTCAAATTTTGCATCCCAAAAACTGATGAAAATTTTGCACACACACCTTCCTCCTACATGAACTCTCTATCATAGAAAGTGGGGAACCGTATCATTTTGCTCCTTACCTCAAAAAAAGAAAAAAAAAACCCTCATCCTCTTACCTCCATTCTCTTTCATATAAGGTGGGAGTTGCATCATTTTACTTCTCACAAACAAATAAGACAAAGTCAAATACGAAGCAAAAGTAAACATGGATTTACAATAATCAGCCTATTTATACTCTCATACATTTACACCAGTGCAAAATGAACACATTGTAAACAAACTGAACCAATGGCTGCATTTGGAAGTGATGCAAATGGAGTGTAAATCCTGATTCAGGGTAAATTTGCACTCTGGTTCACTTTTTCCTATGTTTAGCAACATTACATTTATGCATTGACAAATAACAGAAAAAAAATCTTCCAATACATATTTATATTAATAATAAGATGTAAAAGTACATCAATAAAAAAGAAGTAAATTTACATTCAAGTGGGCTATTGATAAAAAAAGGCATATATTTTATTGGAATTCGTTTTTGCATCTATTACAGCTAAAAGTTTGTTTGGTAAGAAGGTAACTGTCAGTCCAAAACTAACTCAACTTTGTAATTTATATGGACCGTTTTACACTCTACGTATTTGCATTCACACTTATTTGCATTGTTTCCAAACGCATACACACTCTACGTATTTGCATTCACCCAGAGAGCTCACTTGATCATGGGTTCAACTACTTGGTCCAGTCAATTGTTCGTGCTAGACCAGGTACATTTAGGGGGCGTTCTTTTTTTTTCGGATTTTGAGAGGGGGGGGGGTCTCCTAAGCGGGTAAATAACTTTCCCACTTGGGGGAAAGTTTCCCACACATGAATGGGACAAAAATGCCATTTTAATAATGAATTTTTATGGTTAAAATGGTCATTTCCTTTTTTACTTGGGAAATAAAAGAACATGGGTAAATACACTTACCTGGGTAAGTGTTTCTCAGGAAAAACTTACCCAGGTAATTGCATTTACCCGGGTAAGTAACTTACTGAAAAGCGAACGGGGCCTTAAGAGTGAATATCTTGTAATCTCTTAATAAAATATATTCTTGTGAGAGTGGTGAGTATTACATAAATTCCTTGCTGGGGTGCCAAGCTATGATAAAATAAGATATGTATGTTATTGGAGAATTTTCAGAGTACAATAAATGAATAAATAAAACAAAAGGAGGAGAGAAAGGGAATGCTAAGATTTAAAAGAGACTTCAACCAAAAGAAAAAAAAAAAAGTTTTAAAAAATCTTAGAGGAGAAGCTATAGAAAATAACTGTAAAGGCAGATGAGATTTGTATAAGATGTAACAAATATTTTCAGTACTCGATCACATAAAAAAACTTGACATTTCATGTGGATTCTCCAATAAAAAGCAATTAGCCATGAAAATATACTGAAGACAAATAATTATATATCCTATTTATTATTTGGTTACTTAAGAAATAAATTAGAATCTCACTCTTGATAAAATGACTAAAATCAAGGAAGTTATAGTTTTCGTTATCTCATGGACTGCACCATGGCCTGAAGATCATTCTAGGTGCTACGTGTTCATTTTCAATCAGAGAAGACTCTGAATCTCCTCATATAATAGATATATAGAAAGTTTTCTACAGAAAGAATCTGATAAACAAGCAGCCAATCACATGCAACTCTTCTGAACTAGCTAGATTTCTTGGGCATCCACTTCTCAACTCTTATCCTGATATCAGATTTAAGTTTTTTCTAGGTCAATTTATGTAAACTACTGATAACAACTCAGATCTAGATTTTGTTATCGGACCCCATCTCACTCTATGCCAATTTCACTTAACCATTGCCATTGTTATTCTCATCTGT